CCCCGCGCCCGCCCCCGCGCCCGCCCCGCCGTCTCCCCCGGAGATCGAAGAGGCAATCGGCATGGTCGGCCGGAGACGGAGATCAGCGCCTGAACCTGTCCAAACGGAGTCGCAGTCTTCTTCACGATTATGGACAATGCTTACGGTGAACGCACTAAAAACATGGAAGAGGAGAATATTTTTCCCTTTCACTTATTTTACTTGTATATTAACTGCCGCTCGCTCGCCATGCCTCGCGTCTCATCGGCTCTCCTCTCCAACCAGAACGCCAGCGCCACCGGGGAGGTGATCTGGCCAACGGAGTCCCTCCAGTGGCGCACGCTGGCCGTCAAGACAGCTGCGGATGAGGAAGTCCAGTGGGCTGCAGTCCACCCGAGGTGCGTAAGGCGGTGGCCACTGGCCGAACAAGTTGCCATGTGCCCACGAGATCAGATGATTGCTAGTTTTTTTCTGGATAGTCTGGGTTGAACGATTGTGGAAAGCCAAAGTCTCGAATTGCATGCTTTAGAAAAGGTTCTGCTGTGAGCAAGGATGCTCTGTCCCAGTCAAGCGAGGAGTCATCGCAGGTGGACGACAAGGGCAGCGTCACTGTCGGGGCTGCGGCAGCCACGGGGGCCGCGGGGGCGACTCAGGCCCAGACCCAGCAGCAACAGCCGTCTGGATGGTCTGTGAACGTGGTACTGTCTCCTGAATACACGCCTAGCCAAGTAAGGGTTGCGCTTTAGCTCTTTACTCTCACTACAGTTGTACACGGCAATCAAATGGACCATAACCAACTGTACCTGCTCATAGGTCGTGCGGGGGGTGGACGCCAACGACCTATCAGACACTAGGCCAAAAAATGGGTGAGGAGGCACGCAAAAATCGAACATTTCTATTGTTTATTTTGTTGTTTCTTTTGACTTGTTTAATTGCACGCAAAGCTGTTGGAGTAGGGAAGTTGGGAAGGTTTGGGAAGTTCGCATTCCAACCGTGACTTAAAATTGGGGCGTATGTCGCAGGACAGCGGCGGACGTGACGCATGTGTCTCCGTCGAGACCGGCAGGACCGGCGGCGGCCGAGCACGGCCCCGGCACAGTGTCGGGGGCCGTGCGGGAGGTGTGGCAGGCCCTGGACCAGGACCCCACGCGCAACAGGACGGGGCGCGAGCGCGACCCGCAGCAGGCGCCCGACGGCTTCTTCTGGGACATCTGGCTAAGTCAGGACGACCCGACCCGGGTTAGGGAGGCGAGAGGTGAGCCACGACCGCAGAGTCCGCTAGGTTCCTCGAGGTGCACAGAACGACTACCAACAACATACGCTGACTAGCCCCGTCCCGTGACCTTGCCGTCGATCATACACTTTTCTGGCGGGGAAGGCTCCTCCACGGTGCACTCACTTGTTCCCTCCCTTCTAGCGGAACGCTATTCTCACTTGTCCGTCTGACGGCAGCGCGCATGATGCGCCAGTACATGGACACCTCCGTGGAGCCCTGCGCCGACTTCTACACGTACGCGTGCGGCGGCTGGGCCAAGTCGCACCCCATCCCGCCGGACAAGACCGTGTTCGACACGTTTGAGACGCTCCGGGAGATGCTGGACGCGGCGCTGCGCGTCGAACTCGAGCGGCCAAATGGCGAGGAACCTGCGCCGTCTCTGTCGCGACTGGAAAAGAGAGTGGAGCCAGCGGCAGCGATCCCCGTGAGGTGAGCACCCCCCTCCCCACCTTAGGGACCATCCAGAAAGTACGTCTGTCATACGAACCTATCAAGGCTTTGCAAGCTCTCGTAGCGCCTGATGGTAGGCAACATCTCGCCTACCGTGCATGCGTGTAGTGCGGCGTAGCCTACCCGGCATTTCGCAGGCGCCTATCTTCCGCAGTTTTCCAACTGAATCGGAGGGGGAAAAAAAGGACACGTACTTTCTGGACGCCCCCTTATCCCTCCGCAGCACAGGGCAGCGGAGCTCGACTCACGCCTTGCACTCTGTGTCCCAGCACCAGCCCCCTGCAGCGCGCCACCGCACCCGCGCCACCCACCGCTCTGGACGACGAGGGCGGCGACCCGGCCTCCGATGCGGGTGGCGCCGAGAAACGTAAGCAGGCGGCCGCCTCTGCCGGCGCCCACACCGACGCCACCACCAAGGCGAAGTGGCTCTACAAGTCGTGCATGAACCACGGTAGGATACCAGTGGCCACCAGTATGGCGCCGGAGGGCACTGTGTGTGACGAGGAGTCGTGACGAGTTCTCCGTGTCTTCTGCAGAGCTGCTGGAGGCACGCGGCGTGGCGCCGCTGGTGGAGCTGCTGCGCAAGCTGGGCGGCTGGCCGGTGCTGGACCCGGCGGGCTGGGACGATCGGGGCTTCGACTGGCTGCACCTCGTCGCCCAGCTGCGCCTCTACAACAACGACATCCTCATCTCCGAGTGGGTGGGGCCGGACGTGAAGAACTCGGACCAGTACGTGATCCAGCTGGACCAGACGGGGCTGGGGCTGCCCACGCGCGACTACTTCCTGGCGCCCTCCAACGCGCCCTACCTCAAGGCCTACCGTGACTTCATGGTGGAGGTGATGGAGCTGCTGGGCGCCGACACGGCCACCGCCGTCGCACACGCTGCCGAAATTGTGTCTTTCGAGACGAGCCTGGCACAGGTGCGAGTACACTAAAGTTTAAAACACCCCTTAGCTGTAATAACTAAAAGTGAGGACTAGGTTAGACCATTTCAGGTTAGAAGGCTTGAGAAAGAGACGCGGATTTCATTTGCATGTGAAAGTAGGCAGGGTAAATCAGCCACCTCGTATGTAGCGTTAACCACCCCCACCTTCTTTTCCAGATTGTGGCGTCCTCCGAGGAGCGTCGCAACGTGTCGCAGCTGTACCGCCGCCTCAGCCTGCAAGGCCTGTGCGACCTGGTGCCGGGCGTGGATTGGCGACGCTACCTGGCCGTCGTCCTGGGCCGGAACATCCCAGACGAGCAGCCCGTCGTCATATTCGCGCTGCGTTACATGAGCGACCTGGTGGCGCTGGTGGACAAGAACCCGCGGCGCGTGGTGGCCGACTACCTGCTCTGGCGCTTCGTGCGTCACCGCATCAACAGCCTCGGCGACCTCTTCGGCGCGGCCAAGCAGCGGCTGCTGCACGCGCTCATGGGGCGCGAGGCGGTGCCGCCGCGCTGGAAGACGTGCGTCGCGCACGTCAACTCGCACATGGGCATGGCGCTGGGCGCGCTGTTCGTGCGCAGGTACTTCGACCACAACTCCAAACAGGACGTGAGTACGAGCGTGCTCTGGAGGGGGCATCCTTGGAGTACGACTGCCTACGGATACTGTAGCTGTGTAAAAAAACAGTTACTTTCATGTTACGAGGATAGTACTAATGTTCATAACAAGTTAAAAAGTCCCTGCACGCCTAGCGCAGGGAGGGGTAGAGGAGGCGTCGATGGAACCTCTGACATCGCCATGCTCCCCGCTTCCCCGCTCGCTTGCTCAGCTCACGCTGGTGCTGAACGTGGAAACGGGCGATTCTTAACTGGGTACATGTACAACATCGCTCACTCATCCACACAGACCCTGGAGATGACGCGCGACATTACCCAGTCGTTCCGCGAGATGCTCAACGAGACCGAGTGGATCGACGAGGAGACGCGGCGCCTGGCGCTACACAAGGTGGACTCGATGCAGCTGCGCATCGGCTACCCGGACTTTGTCCTGGACCGACCCGCCCTCAACGAGCGCTACGAGGACGTGAGTTATTTCTGCTCGTGGTCTCTCATCGGCAAGCCCGGCCGGCGCTCACAGAGACTTGACCCGTTGTCCAGGTGGACGTGCATCCGGACAAGTACTTCGAGAACACGCTCAACATCCTGCGCAAGCTGGCCCGGGTGGAGCAGGAGCGGCTGGGCACCCCAGTCAACAAGACGCTGTGGAACACGGCGCCGGCAGTCGTCAACGCTTACTACAGCCGCAACAAGAACCAGATTAGTGCGTGACCCTTTAGAATAAGAGGGATTTGGAATTTTTCTTCGTAAGGTTTTACCAGTGTTGCACATTTCCAGTCCGCTCTGTCAACGTGAACCTCTGTGCTTGCCGCAGTGTTCCCTGCCGGCATCCTGCAGCCGCCCTTCTACCACCGCCACCTGCCCCGCTCCCTCAACTACGGTGGCATCGGCGTGGTGATCGGCCACGAGATCACGCACGGATTCGACGACAAGGGCCGCCTGTTCGACGAGCACGGCAACCTGCTCCAGTGGTGGGGCGAGGACGCCATCATCAACTTCCACGAGCGGGCGCAGTGCCTGATCAGTACGTTTCGTTTAGTTGTAGTCTTGTCTTCCCCCGGCGACGGCGCGATGGAGGTCACGTTGGGTGGCCTGCCGCGTAGGAGCACCTTTGGTGGTCTACCCAAACGAGTTGGTTGGGTGGCCTACCCCGGCCTACCCGCAGGAGCACCTTTGATGGTCTACCCATACGAGTTCGTTGGGTGGCCTACCCTCAGGAGCACCTTTGGTTGCCTGCCCATACGAGTACGTTGGGTGGCCTACCCACAAGAGCACCTTTAGTGGTCTACCCATACGAGTTCGTTGGGTGGTCTACCCGCAGGAGCACTTTTGGTTGCCTGCCCAGTGACCATGCGAGTACGTTGGGTGGCATGCCCGCAGGAGCACGCCGGCTAACACAACTCGGACTGCAGCGCCCGATGGGAGGGCCACCCAACGTGCACCCGGCGCGTAGTGGCGTGACGCTACCCCCCCCCCCCCCCCACGAGCATCGCGAGCAACCGCGAGATCACACGCGTGGAAATTTTTGCACGCTCGCAATTTAAAAGCGCGGTGCCGCCTGTTGTGGCCCGCCTGACCCCAAACCCGACGAAAGTTTCCCCTGAGGTGTTTCCTCGCCTCTGGGGAATCCAGGTGGTGGTTTGGATTTTTCCACCTTGTTTTTCCAGATCAGTACAGCAACTATAGCGTGTCCGAGATTGACCTGCTTATCAACGGAGAGAATACGCAGGGGGAGAACATCGCGGACAACGGAGGCGTCAAACAGGCTTTTAGGGTAAGTCCCCCCTCCCCTCCCCCCGGAGCATCGCGACCAAAGGGGCCGCAACACTTGTAAACATTGCACGTTTATGACCAATTGGGGCCAACCGCATTGAAAAGAATTGCGACAATCGAGAGACTTGGGGACTGTCTTCAGAGAGGTTCATTTTTTTGGGGCATGATTCCGTGGATCGCACCCGAGCGTGTACACAGGCTTGAACGAATTTTAGCCAGCCCCCTCCCCTCGGTCGCGCCTCTGTACTACTTTTCAGGTGCGCTTGTTCGTTCAGAGGCCCACGTGGTCCGGCGGGCTGGGCCCCGCGCGGTCCGGTCCAGGAGGAGAGCGCAGCGGCGGCGGCAGGAGGACTCGGCAGGCCGCGGCACCGCACGCCGGCACCCCGCCGCGCCACCTCGCGGCATGCGACGCGAAGCCTCGACCTTGTCCTGCCGCGCTAGGCCCGTCCGCCCAGCGTCCAGGGCTCGGCCGGGCCGGGGAAAAGGGGGGGGGGGAGGACGCCCACCTGGGCGCACCTGTGACGGTTCGGAACTCTTGGAAAGATGTCGGGTGGTGCTTGATGATTACGAGTGCGGACTGATGACAGGCCACACTGTTATCTGTAAGGTGACACGTGTGACCAAAATTTAGCGACAGATAAGTTTCCATAAGTATGGTCACGTCTGTCTCGGATGTCGCCAAGTATGGTCACAAATGTTTCACCATATAGATTACAATGCAGGTGCGCTCCTAATGCCACTGGCCGCGACGGGCCGCGGTGGGTGGGTGGCGGGCCTGCCTCTGGGCCAGTCTACGTGGGCTAGTCTGGGTCTGGCCTGACCGACTAGACGGGCCGATGCGCCGACCGCGACCGGAGCTACGTCAAGAGAGCTTCCGCCGCGGCTCCACGGCTCCAAGGCGGCCCCACGCCCCTCCCTAATCCAACCCCATTCGGCGTGTTTTGTTTCTGCATACCTTTCCTGTTTGCCGTTCGCGGTCGGCGCGCGCCGCCAGCGCCGCTGCCGCCGGAGCGATGCCACGCGATACCTGAGAGATGTGCCTCGCCGTCAGCGCCAGACTCGACGGGCTCATTCATCCGGGCGCGTTCCATCGTCATTTGGGGGGAATCGGGTGATTCACGAACCGTCTCCGTGTAGCAGCCGCAGAGCTGTTCATTTTTATAGTTGCTTATCTGTGCGCAATGTTTTTGAGTGTGTTGTGTGACGAAAACAGAAACGTCATGCAGTTACTTGCAACAACCAACGTAGCGGACTGGCCCCGTCTACACGAAAAAACAACAACAAAACACATTTAGACTGGCGTGGTGGTTTGCTCATCAAATGGTGTCCAGTCGAATCGTGGCAAACCAGCATCTCGTTCTCCGTTCTGGGTTCTCGATTTCAGCTATCGTCGACTGTAGCCTACCACACAGAGTTGGTCACGCGCAGTTGGGTTTCCCTATCATCATCTCTCACTATGGTGCCTTAGGGACCATCCAGAAAGTACGCCTGTCATTCGCCGTTGCGAACCTTCCAAGTTCGGGCTTTGCAAAGCTCTCATAGCGCCTGATGGTAGGCAACATCTCACCTGCAGTGCATGCGTGTAGTGTGGGGTGGCCTACCCGGTGTCTCGCATGCGTCTAGCTTCTGCAATTTTCCAAGTGAATCTGAGGAGGATAGGACGCTGAACGATCTCTTATGGCCTCAAGCAGAGGCAACTCCCTGGCTCCCGTGCATGCAGCACAGCTACAACTATGGACGGCGTCCGTATTTCCCACCCCTCTGAAACTTCTTGGTACGTTCAACTTGACTTACGGCCGAGTAATGTCGACAGGCGTACGAGCGCTGGGCCGCGCAGCACGCGGACGCGGCGCAGGCCGAGACCCTCCCCGGGGTGAACGCCACCGGCCGCCAGCTCTTCTTCATCAACTTCGCGCAGGTGTGGTGCAGCTCCATGCGGCCCGAGGCCATGCGGTCCAAGCTCAAGATCGCCGTCCACTCGCCGGCGCGTTTCCGGTGCGTACAACCATCTCTCTCAGCACCTTCCAGATTTGACTGAATTGTGTCCCGGCTGGTTTTGTTTAATGAGATACCTACTGTTTTACATTCTAGGGTTATCGGCACCCTGTCCAATTCGAGAGAATTCGCCGAGGTCTTCAACTGTCCCGTGGGCTCGCCCATGAACCCCGGTGAAAAATGCTCAGTCTGGTGAGAAAGACTCAGACCAAAATGACGAGCGGCGCCAACCGACGTTGGCTCTCTCTTAGATGTGCCAAATCTTTGAACTGTAAATATTGTAAAGTAAATACTTTAAGGATGTAAAACGTTTCCCGCTGTCAAGTCATTTCCCCGCGCACCACTATTTTTACTTACGCAAATGATCACATTCAATGGGTCTCGAGGCCACGAACCCGCCAAACAACGACGGTCGTTTACCCTGCGTGCGGTGGCGGCATTGCACATGGATCCAAACTAACCGCGCCGATGCCTCTGATTAACCCCGTGGCCCGCGGCCAACAAAGGCGAACGCCGAACGCGGCGGAAAAGGAAACTTGCGAAACTTGCGAACCGATATGTTCTCGAGTGGAAGCAGCCCGACCCGGTGCGACACACACACACACACACGTGGCGAGGCATGACAAAGTGCCCTAAATTGGAGCGTTCTTTGTGGCCGAAACGGACCGAGGTTTTAGTTCTCGGGGCCGCTGAGGGCGAGTCGACAGAGTCATTCACCCCCCGGGGCAGCGCGCTGTAGCGGCTTGTATCGGGGCGGGGCGCGATGACTAGCAGACGACTACAGACGAGACTGGAAACAGTTTTGAAGGTCTCCGATTCCCCTCCAAACCCCACCCCTGTCTTCCACGTCTCCACACATGTACACAAGCAGTGTTAGATGAGTTGCGGAACACTGGGCAAAATTGTTTTGCCTGGTGGATATAAGGGAGGGGAGGGGGGTTACTTGGGATTTGTTGTCCAAGAGTAGTACGAGTGTGATGCATAGGCTCGATATGCTCGATGGCGATGGCACACTAAAAGCTTATGAACATTTTTTATTCATCACTGAGTTCTGTGTATGTGCTCCGCTAACGCATTTTTTAACACGCCAGTGTAAACAAATTTGTTCAAACCGGCGTATTAAAAAATGCGTAAGCGGAGCACGTACACGGCACTCAGCAGTAAGCTATGAATAAAAATGTCCATAAGCTTTTAGTGTGTGGCGACGCTCTGTTGTCGACCAGGGTTGCGTTCCGCTTGTGCATGTTCTTTAATTCTGAACTCCCGCCTCAGCCTGCCCTTGACACCACGCACCGTCTTCGCACGCACTCCGACGACTAGCGACTTATCATTAACACTAGCATAATTGAAGCGTTTGTGCGAAACAGAAGTATTTAGTCGAGACGGTGATCCGTATATCCACGACCTACTTTCTCGACGTGTCTCGAGAGCATCACCTTGGAAACGGGTGTCACTCGAAGGTCGTAACTACATGTGCATGCAGTGACATTGGGTTTGTATGGGGAATTTGAAATAGTTTGTTCGTATGACCAAACCCGATGCTCGACGCTTGACAAAAGACCTTGCTGAATTTCAAGACTGATAAC